TGTTTCCTTCCCTGCTGTTTGATTGCTTTTGTGGCATACACTTGTAATATCACCTTGTTTGGGCCTAATGTGGGAGAATTTTGGATGCAAAGCATATTTCCTACTATATCTTCTTCCTATGACACTCAATACCACTCCTCTGTTTTCCCCCTACCATTTCACAAAGAAAAGGCTTTTCCTTTTTGTTGCTCTATTAAGAAACTCATTACCAGGCAGACAGGGTGTGAGAACTGGTTCTTTCCATTTTGGGCACAGTAGGATGTGCAGATAATGGCAAGAGGAGGTATAAGGCTGAAAGAGGTGGGGGCAGCCCCTGATCCATGTGTTCAGTATTGCAGGATCCCCAGCAGCTGTCCTCCTGCCTTGGGGACCCCAACCTGATGCCCACAAGGCGACAGAGAGCACCCACCAGATGCTGTCACTGACTGCAAAAGGCAGCAGGGACTTGGAACACAAGCCCTATGAGGAATGTTTGAGGGAGTTGGGGTTGTTTAGCCTGGAGAAGAGGAGGCTTAGAGGTGACCTTATTGCTCTCCACAACTTCCTGAAGGGAGTTTGTAGACAGATGGGGGTCGGTCTCTCCCACCGGGCAGCAACTGGCAGAACAAGAGGACACAGTCTCAAGCTGCATCAGAGAAGGTTTAGGTTGGATATTAGGAAAAAAAATTTCACTGAAAGAATAATAAAATACTGGAGTTGTCTTCCTAGGGAGGTGGTGGAATCACCATCTCTGGATATGTTAAAAAAAAAAGACTGGATTTGGCACTTGGTGCTATAGTCTAGTTGTGGTGTTAGGGCACAGGTTGGACTTGATGATCTTAGAGGTCTCTTCTCATTATTCTGTGATTCTGTGATTCTGTGATTCATGGAAGGAGCATCTCTAACAAGGCTCCACAAGGGTACTTCAGGTATTTTTCAGTCCCACATGCTGCAGTGTGGGGTATGATGCGAGATCATTGCAGGCCAACAAGTTTTAAAAATTCTTCAAAATGACAGGGCAGGGTTTCTTTGATACTGGCAAACAGGAGGTTGGCAATGTTGAGCAGACTCCAGGACTTTTGCTGCTCTCCAGGAGGCAAGGGAAGCAAGATCCAGAAGTAGGCAGAGATACTCCTTTAGTAGCAGAGTCAAGCTGAGTACTTGCTACACAACTCTTTTATATTTGATGAGTTCTTAAATCTTTTAGTGCACTTATTTTGCCAAATAATCAGGTGCTCACGATCTTCCCTGCCACTGAACCTGTATTTCAGTAGGGAAGTATAAGCTTCCAAAGATGAAGAGTTGTCTTCTGTGCAGCAGCTGGTATCAAAATGTCTGGGCTTTCATCTGATTTTCATGTAAGAAGTGTCACATACCATGTATCAAAAATCACAGTTTGAAAGCATTTTAAAAAATATCATGGGTGAAGTGGAATATACTTTTGTTATTAGTCTTTCATATAGAGAACATACATTTCAAAAAGTGGTCACCACCACAGATTGTTCTCCAGATCTCATCTTCCAGCACGTACAGTAACTTCCTGCAGAAAAAGGGTGCTCGTTTTTCCCATGGGAGATTTGTCCAGAGATCATCCAAATTGTGCACACTCCTGCCAGTGGAGTTTTTGGAACAGGGTAACTTTCTGGCTATATCCACTGACTTGGGGGGTTAATGTTTGTAGACATTTTTTCAAGAGATGTTTCTCTGTACAGAGGTGGGTACAAACTATGCACAAAGGAAAATGGGTGTTTAAATAAGCTCTGCTGATCATAGCCTTTCTAAAATGGGTATCTTTTCCTAATTATGCTTCTTATTATACTTAAACAGAGAAGCACTTTCTCTCTCTTAAACAAAAAAGGGCAATTTGATAGAGAAACGCAGAGGTGGCACATCCTTTTGAATAGTCTGTTCTGAATAAATCAGGTGAGAAATTTGGAGGAGTCATTTAGTGGATTAGTTGCCATACAGAAAGCTAATCCTGCTGGTATCTCAGACACATTCTTCACTCCTCCATGAAGCACTTATCTTTAAAATAAGTTAGTCAAAGTTTATACATAAGTATAGTATCCCTATTCCCATTCAATTATATGAGTCATCTCCACAGGTTAAACAGAAGATGCAGATATTCCAGTCTGTTTTGTAATTCAAATCATTTGTATGCATTGGGTAATGTGATTTATAACCATATTTGCGCTTTGAAATAAAAAAGGGATTCAGAAAGGAGACACTAACACCTCTTTAAATATATCGCTTTATTGTTCATGCTGAAACCACTTGACCTGTGCAATACCAGGTTCTTTACCTATACAAATAAATTTGAGGCTTAATCCTTAATAACATATACTGCAAATGTTCAAGAGCTGCTTAAGTTACCAAATTAGTATTAGGGGAGAAAGAAGTACAACCTACTTCAGCAACAACAACAAAAATAAACTACCTGCTTTAATTCAAAGCATTCTTAGGAGAAGAGGCATTTTTATTAAGAGAAAAAAAAAACACAAAAAGAAACAAGATATTCAAAACAAACCAATATGTTACTTTGAATTATATTTATAAAATATTTAGCTGTCTTCTAGAATAGAAAAAATATAACATTTTTATTAGACCTACTTATAAATCATTGTCAAAACGTTTACAGGAGCTTGTGGTAAACATAATTTATATTTACACTGAGGAAACAGTTGTTGCCATATTAATTTTTTTATTATTAGTAAAATGACTGTTACCTCCAAAATCTTACTTAAATCAGAAATGCATACATTTCCTAGACATATTTATGCAATTATTATTCCAAAACCAGACAATATTCCTGTATTTCTTTATTGACTCTTTTTAATGGGCCTTTTTCCATCTGGAATTACTTGGTTTTGGGATGCAAATTGGAATAATGCAGAAACACATTAAGACTGCTACATCCTGCATGATTTTAATTAAAATATCAGATTATTATTGTAGCAAATTAGAACTTAGAGTAACTTTATAAAATAAAATATAGCCATCACGTGATAAAAGGTGCTGCACAAGAATGAAAATGATTGGAATTTAATTTCATATGGTTACTTTTGAAAAAAGCTTTAAAACACTGTAGCCATTCACATGCATCCATGCATATGTCCTTTCTGAACGCAAACAGATATTTTTCCTAATGCCATGTCGTCATTTCCTTTTAATTACTAAATTGTTATCCCATCACTAGAACTACTTCTTCAAAACTTGACTTTAAATTTAAATGAAAAATGTTCATAAAAGAAAGCCGTGTGTACACATCTAGTAAAGATAATGGATTTTTTCCAAAATGAGTCCCTTAAATAATATATTTCTCTAGTGTTCATATAGCACTATGTATGCAAATAGATATAATAAAAATATACACATAATTAGTACTAGAGGCAAAATATGGTTTTGATATGCTTTGTGCATGTGAAGTACTTGAATATAGGGCATTACATTGTCTGAGCTGTTTCTGGAAGTTTTTCATATTAATACAATGGTTTGATTGCAAATCTGAGAGAGGCTTAACCTCTACAACGAATTGTGCTGAAAATAAATAAAATACAAAACACATAAAAGCTGTTTATCAGAAAAAAGTACTTTCACTGGCAAAAGTCCTCCAGATCTTTTCCTTCCACAATCTTGGTTTTACACCCCTCTTAGTGAAATATCCTATATAATGGAAAATATTGTTTGTGACCCACAAAAATCCCATTCTGTAGGTATAAATTCAAAAAATTTTATGTGATATTTGAGCTTCCAAAAAAAGTATTTATGAAATATCACAGAGATCAGATAAAGTGTTTGATTTTGAGTAATCATGACCTATTTTGAATACCTATAGATTGTTTATTTCTAAAATTACTATATTACTATATCTGTTTTATATTAACATTTAACTTACATATTTGTTGCACACTTTTAACACCTGCTTTACCAAATAATTTCAGTTTGAACTGTAATGAGAAAGCAGTATTTTGAATATTAGGGAATGCCTAGGAAGGGAATCTGGCCTTAGTTATAGCATTTATAAAGCTATGGATAATTATTTTGAAACCAGTGATTAATAAGTGTCCATTTTCATGTCATCATTGCTAATAGATGCTATCTCACTCAGGCACCCCGCCATTCTGTTTAATACAAGTGTATCCTAGTGTAAAAGGGAGCTTGTCATACTTATCTCTAATGGTGAATGATTTCTCTCCCTCTTCCTGAAGACACTTTGCACCCAATATTCTCAAATCCTATCAAGGTACAGCCTGACAAATAAGCTAACAACAATGCAGGTGGCAGGCTACATTTATGTGTAGGTGTATGTTCTCTAGAAGACATGCAGAAGATAACTGAATCTTTTTTTTTGCTTGTAAATTGGACAAAATACACATAGGAAGAAATGTGTTTATGGAAAGAGATACAAAATTTTTACATTTCAATAAAATATCACGCTCTGAGAGAACAATATGCTTCAAAGAATCATTGCATTTTCAGAAAGTGGTAGAAAAATTAAACATTGTTTTTTGTAATTACTGCTGAAATTCTTAAAAATGCAAAGCGGAAAGGATAGGATCTGTCATTATACCAATGCTGCATTTACTGCCTGTAACGTCAGCTTGGTTTCACCTATTTCTCTGTTTTCTATGTTTAATTTTATATTCAAGTGACTGTACTGTATGAAACCAGCAACAATTTGTCCCGATTCATGGTTTAGGAGGAACAGCTGATTAATCCCATGTCTACAGTCTTGACCCTATGCAGAAAATACAAACATAGAAGGTCTGCTTAACAATATATCAAAGGTACAGTTCCTTGTATTCTCTCCTTTATAAAATTATAAATCACATGCAGATGCAGAGTAAGTTAGAACAGCGTGGCTTAGTCATTATCACTTTTATCCTTTTATCTTCTTACACAGTGAATATTTTTTTCCTTTTAAACATTTCAGTGTTAAGCAACCAGCATGTCACCATCATGTTTTTCTGTATGTTATCTGGACACAAAAAATGACTGTATGTATTTGTTCGTTGGTTTAGGCTCATCTGTTCCTGAACTGAGAGACCTGTACAGGACAGCAATCCCATAAAGCAAAAACACCTTGCTTCTTTCCATACAATGCTTAACAGTCACGGCTCAGTGCTGTAAGTGCTGACTCATGTGAGTAGGCTTTACTCTTCTGAGAAGACTTATTAGCTTCAGTTAGACCATTTATCCTAACGAGAGCTTGCAGATTTGGGTCTTTCCAGAAAGGTGCTCAAAGATTATTTTTTCAGGGTCTAAGGTTTACAAGATATACTTTTCAATTCTTAACATTCAAAAGGTTTCCAACATCCCACAGATGTGCGTATTAAAAAAAAAATATTCTTCTACTTATGATAAAGTATGAATATACAATACCTGGTTTATATTAGTCTATCTAAAATTGCTGGGGAAACTGAACAAAATAAAACATACATAACAGTCTTTTAAAATGTGATCAGGGCAAGAGAGAATAGAGCACTTCCATTTTTAGTAGTGAAGCACAGTGACTCTCCCAAGCCAGTTTGGAAATACTAATAAAATTTTAAGGTCTTTTCTATATGGTAGCTCCAGAAAATAATGTGTTCTTTATTATTGTAAGGCATACTCTGCTAGGTAAAGGGGGGGGGGGGGGGGAAGGAAAAAAAAAGGTAAAAAAATATACATAACATAACTAAATAAAACCAAAATCTGTGGAAATCTTCTCATGTAAACTGCATAATAGCACTTCAAATGGCCCCTTTCTGTCATCCACTGTAACCATCACATTCCCATTTCTGCTGCAGTCAGGTGAACTGTCAAAGAGCTATTACGGTTGGCTGCATAGAATTCCAAGGAAAGACAAATCTGTGCAATTTTCTCCTTGGACAATAAATGGGTTTTTTTGGTGTACATAGGTTTTCCTAAACAATTTTGGTAAAGGAAAAAAGAGATTTTCATTTTTTTTTCCATATTTTTGCATGTATGCGGTAATGCAAGGGGCTTTATTTGGGCTGCAGCCTTTACTATGAATGTGTAGCCCTTTGATGGATGCACATTAGCATTCCAGTATGTGGGTAAGATTTATATATTTTTTTTCCTTTTCTGATGCATAATATAGCTTCAAGTAGATACTTACAATTGTACTGTGGCATGTTATATTTTAATGTGTGTTTTTGTACTGTTAAAAGAATTTATGCACACCAAGTGAAATAACGAAATGTGTACACAAATTCAAAAAATCCTCCAATCTACTATTAAAAACTAGTAGCAATGCAAAAATAATAAATACATTTAGCCTTTCATGTCTGTTTAACATACTGCATGCTCAGAAGTGAATACATTATTGTGATATGTAATACCACATCTTCTGATAAGGCTTATCTCATAAATAAAAAAGACAGATAAATGACGTGTTTCTAAACGTTCTTTTTTTTTTTTTTCAGAGGCAACTATTTTGTCCATTCTCGTGAGGTATGTTGTATAAGCAAAATGAGAGTTTGATTATGTCTTTCATGTAGTTAATAAACATGTGGTTGTCAGAAACCACAACGAGGTTTCTTGCTGGTTGTTTTCATCTTCTATAAAAAATTAAGGTGTTTCAGAACTGACCTTTGCTCATTTGACTCGTCCTTTTTTTTTTTTTTTCAGTTCAATTTGCCTTACTGATCAGAAGCATAACCCAGAATTCTCATATACTCAGAAATGAGGGCAAAAGACAAGTGATTCCTTTAATTTTTTTAAGCTGGAGATTTTTTTTCATTTCTTTTGTATGTGATTTTGTTAAAATTTGAACCTGTTCAAATTAAAAAAGAGAGTAGTCATGGATTTTAATTATAATTCTTGCTTCACCACTGAATTTCCTCAGCAATTGCCTGCTTTTCATCTCTCTAAGTAGTAATTGTTAAATATGACACTCTTTGTATTTAATTCAGAGCTATATTAAGAGTAGAAATTTAATTGCATTCACTGGTTTTACTTTTTTAGAAAATTAGATTTTAATTTGGTACCTCTTCAGGATATGCTTTGTTTACTATATTCCACATGTGTATAACTGCACCTCCCTGTACCATGTTAAGGATATAGTCCCACAAACAAGTTTATCATACACAGGGAATGTTCCCTGCCCCAAAGTGTTTACATTTATGATAAAAATTTCTATTTTGAAGCACTGTCATAGCACTCCTGAAAAATAAACCAACATGATGCAGATTATTCAAAGAGAACCCAGTCCTTAGTCAGAGATCTTTCTTCTGCTGTTTTCGACAGACAGTGTTACATGGAAAGGGTTTATTCTGTGTGGTAATCTGAGGATTCTTCCTGCTTTTATTTCTCCCACGGAGGATGTAGCATCTATAAAGATACTTGAATGTTTTTTTCTTTTCTTTTTATTTTTTTTTTCCTACAGATAGTCTGGAAAATGCTGTTTGCCAGCTTGTTTGTTTCTGTGTTTTGTTTATAATCAGAATACCATTCATTTCTGCATATCTGCTAGACTGGACAAATCAAGGTGACAATCCATGGTTAACTCTGTCAGGCCCTTTGTCTTGCTCTTCTGAGAACTGAAATACAATGGAAACAAAGTGGAATATGTCACCGTCCAGCTGCCTTGTTGTGACAGTGTGGCCCTGTATTACAGTGCCTCAGCCCCTGTTTGCCTATCGATAGCCAGCCCATGAAATGACAATGCAAATCATGTGAAAGCTCTCCTGCAAAATAAAAATGCATTTCCAGAGTGGGGGGAAAAAATAGATCAGGCTTGCCTGAAAAATAGAAACTCATAAAAGGCTCTGTTTTTGGTACAGCTGCTACATTTAAATGTAGGGCCTGTTTTTTTAACCATGGCATATTTCTAAGGGGTGCAGGTAGGCTTATGTGTTTAAATCTATCATATGGTGTCTGCTTACAGGACTCTTCATTGATGTTACTTTAAAGGTAGTTTATATTTCATTTAAGCACGCAATTAATCATCTTTACAGTGCTGATGTGACTGGCATCAGCAGTGTTATTTAATTAAATTCTAAATTATTTTACAGTAAATACAGGCTTCCAACTAACCAGTCCAAATTAAATGCTGAGGTCTATTTCTTACCCATGGTGTTTCCAATTTAAATGTTCATCCAAAAGGTTACACATCATGGGTTGAAATCATTTTTATGTTCTAACTGTTGATAAACCCAAAGATCAACTATACGTGAGTCCTGTGCATTTATTAGCCGTAAGAATGTGTACACATTATCTATATTTCTCATATTCCATTTCATATTAGTGATTTTATGACTGGTGGTCCTTAAGCACCATTTTTCTCCTGATACTTTGTCTCTCCTGTCACATCAGCCCAGGGCTCCTTTCACCAAAAAAAAAAAAAAAAAAAAAAAAAAAAAAAAAAAAATCTTTCCTCCATTTTGTTTCAGTGTGGTAATCAAGCAATTAGCCCACAAAATGGAGGTACTCCGCTCCTCATCCTGCATTTTCCTTCTGGTGGGCTTTACCTGCATGCAAGCAGCAGGCACAGCACTTTGCTGCTGAGCCTGTGAAATTGGCCCCTGAAGAGCATTCACACGATGGTCCATAAGTGGCCACTGCTTAGGGGGACTCTGGGAGGAGGGAGACCTTCCCAGTGGGATAACTGGAGAATTGCGTACAGCACGTGCTCTACCTGCAAATTCTGCACTGGTACATGAGAAAACGTGTGGCCGTGCTCCTTCCCCTGCAGTACTCACTCCCCAGTTTTATAATTATCTGAAAGCATACACTGAGCCAAACTTTAAATGGTGGGAAAAGCAACATCATTGCTTGTTGCTTTTCACCATATATTGTCTTTCAAAAAGGAAAGAAAAGAACAAACCAAACCAAACCAAACCAACCGCACCATTTGTTTTATGTTACAGCTTTCCACAGACAATTCACAACATGTCTAGCAAGGAATCAGACCAGAAATACTGTCTTACTCCTATCATATATATAATACAGCTTTTGAATACTGGAAAATCTGTCATCCGTTAAGTGCAGCTCAGGTCTTCTGTGTGAAAAGCACAAGCTTTTTTTTTTTTTTTTTTTAATGCAGTGCTGCCGTGTCTGCACTTTTTTGAAATTGCATATTTATCAGGTTATGAATAATTTATGAGTGGGGAAGGGAGGGGGAGGGCTGGAAGGAAGGAAGAGTGAGAAAACATATGCTTGGGCAGAGGAATACCTTAAATGAATCCACTACCAAGTCTTTTGAAGGATTACTTGTAATTACATATATATTCTTTTTGTTTTGTTTCTCTTATGGTTCTCTTGGTCATCTGCTATTTCTATCGTGTTGTCTATTGGGTTTGTCTGGCTATTAGGGAGCATGAAGGGATTGGGGATAGTGCTTGCTATGAGTTGGAAGATTTTGCCGCGGAAATGAATTGAGCATTTCTTTGACTTCTAAAGTACGGGGTGTTTAATAAATATTAATCCTTCAACTGTCAGACTGAATTATTGTCAAAAAAAGGCTGACAGATTGAGGATTAATGACATGCTTCATAAATTAGAAATGAACTATCAGCAGAATGTCCAAAGTAGGGATCAAGAACAGACCTGATTTGTACCTTAGACCAGTTGAACATGTTATCTATGTCAGACCTGAGCTCATACCTATGCACAAAACAAAAACAACCCTCCCTCCCACAAACACACCTTCATGAACCAGGATCTGACATCTAGATCCTTTCTTCTTTAGGATCTGCAAGTACTCAAACAGCAGAATTGTCTCAGACGCCAGATAATTTGATTAGAGTCACATCCGTATCCTTTTTTTTTTGCAGTTTTGTTAGAGGGAAATTGGGGGAGGTACAGTAATTTCTGTTCAAATCTCTCAATGTCGCATTTTCCCACTATGAAAAATGCAACATCACAGAAAGATGAAGACCTAGCATTATAATGGGAAATTTTAAAAATAGTATCTGCCTCTTCAAAAACACACAGAATTTCCAATATAAATTATGTATTAAAGGAAATATGTTGGTATAAAACAAGTAGCAGTAATTTAATATAAGGTGACAGGATTTTTAGGAGAGGCTAATGTGTGTCAAAAAATATCGTGTACAGTCTTTAATCAAACTCATGATCCTCAGTTGAATTATTGCTTGTAAAGCTGATTTTACTGCATTTTCTAATTCATTAAAGGCAAATCTCTTTCTCTCTCTTTCTCCCCCTCTCTTTTCCTCTTGTGCTTATTAGAGGAAAATTAAGTTTAGTTTGTGTAAGACCAAATAATTTTGGGGTGCCTGAATCAAACAAGCAATTACTTGGGGTGCCATTTTTTTTCTCATCACAGAGGTACACAATATGAAACTGGGCTACCAGAGTGTATAAAAATGTTTAGCTTAATCACTCCCTAATGACAGCGACTTATGTCCTTAGTGCAGTCGATTTGTTTCCTGGGTTTTAAAAGTAGATTATTTCCATGGTGCAGGCTTAGTGTAAGCTGTTGAGAAACCACAAGCACTGCACTTCAGCCTGAGTTTGGGACGTCCGCCAAGGGTAATCTGATTAAAAGGGCATTTTTTACAACGTTGTGGTGCTTTGAAAATTCTGTGCAGCCAGATAGAGTAGGGCCAAAAAAATTGCTTTTTCAAAGCTAACAGTTTTGCCTGAGCAGAATTAAAAGCATGA